GCGAGTCGGCATCACTCAGATCAGTCGAAGCATCACTCCGATTGAGCGAAGCATCACTCAAAATGAAGGTAAGCATCAATATTTAAGTCAGGGCATCACTCTGACCATTTGTGGCGTCAGCCTTATCAATAGGGCATCACTGATTAAGGTTTATTAATATGATAAAGGGGACCTCATTTGGGGCATTGGCATCACCATGACCAGATAGGACATCAATTAAATCAATCGAGGCATCACTCAGATTTGTCGGAGCATCACTCTGATCAGTCTGGATATCACTCAAACAAATGAATCTAAGCATCACTATAATAAGTGGGGGAATCACTATTATAAGTCGGGGCATCACTCTGTATAAGGGGCATCACACTGATTAAGAGGCATCACTCAGATCAGTCGGAGCATCACTCTGATCAGTCTGGATATCACTCAATCAAATGAATCTACGCATCACTATTATAATTCGGTGCATCACTCTGTATAAGGGGCATCACACTGATTAAGAGGCATCACTCAGATCAGTCGGAGCATCACTCTGATCAGTCTGGATATCACTCAATCAATGAATCTAAGCATCACTCTGTATAAGGGGCATCACACTGATTAAGAGGCATCACTCAGATCATTCGGAGCATCACTCTGATCAGTCTGGACATCACTCAATCAAATGAACCTAAGCATCACTATTATAAGTAGGGGCATCACTCTGTATAAGGGGCATCACACTGATTAAGAGGCATCACTCAGATCAGTCGGAGCATCACTCTGATCAGTCTGGATATCACTCAATCAAATGAATCTACGCATCACTATTATAATTCGGTGCATCACTCTGTATAAGGGGCATCACACTGATTAAGAGGCATCACTCAGATCAGTCGGAGCATCAGTCTGGATATCACTCAATCAATGAATCTAAGCATCACTATTAGAAGTGGGGGCATCACTACTATAAGTCGGGGCATCACTCTGTATAAGGGGCCTCACACTGATTAAGAGGCATCACTCAGATCAGTCGGAGCATCACTCTGATTAGTCTGTATATCACTCAAACAAATGAATCTAAGCATCACTATAATAAGTGGGGGCATCACTATTATAAATCGGGGCATCACTCTGTATAAGGGGCATCACACTGATTAGTCGGAGCATCACTCTGATCAGTCTGGATATCACTCAATCAAATGAATCTAGGCATCACTACTATAAGTCGGGGACTCAATCTGTATAAGGGGCATCACACTGATTAAGAGGCATCACTCAGATCAGTTGGAGCATCACTCTGATCAGTCTGGATATCACTCAAATGAATCTAAGCATCACTATTGTAAGTCGGGGCATCACTCTGTATAAGGGGCATCACACTGATTAAGAGGCATCACACTGTCACAAAGGGCGTCACCCTAACCAGATGGTACATCAATAAAATCAGTCGGGCATCGCTCTGATAAATAAGGGCATCACTCCTACCAGTAAGAGAGCATCGTCATAACCCGTTGGGAAATCAATAAGATCAGTCGGGGTATCACTTAGTTTAGTAAAGGGCGTCACACCAATCGGGGCGACATCCTAACCAGTTGGGACATCATTAGATTCCCTGTTTGAGGCTAGGAATCCTCGTATTGAAAATAATGTAGCTCGAAGTTTTCGTTATCTTAATATTAGTTAAAATCCTCTAGAATATGGGTATGGCGAAACATTTGGTATTGACAAATCAAAAGCCTATTTGGATGGACTAATAGTTTGGATAGCGGAGAAGGTATTGCTCATTGTGTCTGAATAAGAAGGATTACTAGCCTTATTCCAATATGTAGGGAATCGTGTTAACAGTCTGAGCCTAATTTTGATCAGACTTGGCATCACTTTGATGGGTAGGGCATTACTCTGATCGATAGGGCCTTCACTTTGATTATAAGTGACATCACTTTGAAGACCAAGTGATCACTCTGATCAATTGGAGCATCACTTTTATCAGTCAGAGCATCTGGTCAGGCGGGGCATCACTGATTAGTCCGGGCATCACCCTGGTGAGTCCGAACATCATTATGAATGATTATTTTGGGCATCACTTTTAACAACAGCTCCTGTCGGGCGGGGCATCACTCTGACGATTCGGAGAATATCTTTGGCAATGATCATTCTGATCAGTCAAAGTATCACACTTATAAGGGCATCACTCTGGTCATACGGGGCATCACTCTGATCATTTCGGACATTACTCTTTTCAGCAAGAGCATCACTCTGGTGAATCGGGGCATCACTGATTAGATCAACCAGAGCATTCATCTGATGAATAAGGGCATCACTTGAGTAAGTTGGGGCATCACTTGAGTAAGTTGGGGCATCACTTTAATCAGTTGGGCATCACTATTAAAAGTGGGGTGGGGGCATCACTCTGATCAGGTCAAGATTCAATGTGGTCAAACAAGGCATCATTCTGATAAATCAGATCATCACTCTGATTAATTTGCGCACCACTTTCAACCGTGGTGGCATCACTCTGATCAGAAGGGGGGTCACTTTGGTCAGTCAGTTATAATTTGGGACATCACTCTGATCAGTCTTATTAATTTTGGCATCACTCAGATCAGTTTGGGCGTCACTTAGATCAGCCGGGGCATCAATCTCCTTATTCAAATCAGTCAGGGCATCACTCTCCTTGACTTATCAGACAGAGCACCACTTTTGTCAAGAGGAGAATCACTCCAATCATATTGGGCATTATATTAGCAGCGAGGGCATCACTCTGATCAGTCGAGGGGCATCACCCAAATCAGTTTTACATCAGATTATTTGGGAATCACTTTCAACAGTGGTAGGCTCACTCTGGTCAGAAGGGGCATCACTGATCAGAAGGGGAATCACTCTGGTCAATAAGTATGTGAGTTTATGCATCACTGTAATCAGTCGAGGGCATCACTCTTAACATTGAGGGCAGCACTCTGATTAGTTGTGGCATCACCCAAATCAGTTTATATCACTCTGATTATTTGGTGCATCACTTTCAAGAATCACTCTGATTAGTCAAAGGTACTTCTTTTAAAAGTGGGGAGATCACCCTAATCAATTGTGAATTAATCTAATTTTTTGGAGCATCACTTTTAACAGCAATGGGATCATCACTCTGACCAGTCGAAGGTAATACTTTGAGCTGATGGAGCATCACTCTGATCAGTAGATGTACCACTCTGCTCAGTTGGTTATTACAGGGGAATCATATTGGATATGTCTCATAAGTTGCCTGATTGCAGTGATGTGTTATTAGTTGCCTGATTGCAGTGATGTGCTATTAGTTGCCTGATTACAGTGATGTGCTATTAGTTGCCTGATTACAGTGATGTGTTATTAGTTGCCTGATTGCAGTGATGTGTTATTAGTTGCCTGATTGCAGTGATGTGTTATTAGTTGCCTGATTACAGTGATGTGCTATTAGTTGCCTGATTACAGTGGTGTGCTATTAGTTGCCTGATTACAGTGATGTGTTATTAGTTGCCTGATTACAGTGATGTGCTATTAGTTGCCTGATTACAGTGATGTGTTATTAGTTGCCTGATTACAGTGATGTGTTATTAGTTGCCTGATTACAGTGATGTGCTATTAGTTGCCTGATTACAGTGGCGTGCTATTAGTTGCCTGATTACAGTGATGTCGTATTATTTGCCTGATTACAGTGATGCCGATTAGTTGCCTGATTACTGTGATGCCGATTAGTTGCCTGATTACAATGATGCCGATTATTTGTCTGATTACAGTGAGGTCCTATTAGTTGCCTGATTACAGTAATAGCCTATTAGTTGCCTGATTACAGTGATGTCCTATTATTCGTCTGATTACAGTGAGGTCCTATGAGTTGTATGTTTACAGTGATGTCCTATTAGTTGCCTGATTACAGTGATGTCCTATTATTTTTCCTGATTACAGTGATGTCCTATTATTTGCCTGATTACAGTGATGTCCTATTATTTGTCTGATTACAGTGAGGTCCTATTAGTTGCTTGATTACAGTGATGTCCTATTATTTGCCCGATTCCAGTGATGTCCTATTATTTGCCTGATTCCAGTGAGGTCCTATTAGTTGCCTGATTACAGTGAGGTCCTATGAGTTGTCTGCTTACAGTGATGTCCTATTAGTTTCCTGATTACAGTGATGTCCTATTATTCGTCTGATTACAGTGAGGTCCTATGAGTTGTATGTTTACAGTGATGTCCTATTAGTTGCCTGATTACAGTGATGTCCTATTATTTTTCCTGATTACAGTGATGTCCTATTAGTTGTCTGATTACAGTGAGGTCCTATTAGTTGCCTGATTACAGTGATGTCCTAGTAGTTGTCTGATTTCTGTGAGGTTCTATGAGTTGTCTGCTTACAGTGATACCCTATTAGTTGCCTGATTTCAGTGGTGCCCTATTAGTTGCTTGATTACAGTGATGCCCTATCATTTGCCTGATTACAGAGAGGTCCTATTAGTTGCTTGATTACAGTGATGTCCTATCATTTGCCTGATTACAGAGAGGTCCTATTAGTTGCCTGATTACAGTGGTGTCCTATTATTTGTCTGATTACAGTGAGGTCCCATTAG